GATGTGCGCTACCATTTCTTAAAGGAGCTTGTGAATGATGGAGTTGTGCAACTTCACTTTTGTGGTACAAGACATCAGTTAGCGGACATCCTCACCAAACCGTTGAAATTAGAGTCATTTCGGGAGCTGAGATAGAAGCTTGGAGTTTGTGATTTTCCAGGAGTTAACTAGCTGCAAATGCAGTCTAGTTCAAGGGAGGGAATGATAAGGCTTAGTCAAATTAGTGTCCTAGTTTATAGCACTTCTATTAGTTGATTTAGTCAAGTTTTTGTAGTCAAATTTGTTTCCTAATATTTAGCTAGTACGTGGCCTATAGGTTGGTTTTGTTTTCTTATTTATTTGCTGAAGTTTACAATGAATAAACAGTCATTTCCAAAAGCTTCTATTCTGTTCCTGTTACATTTAACAAAGATAGCCAATTAAACAATATAATTGATTTCATGTCATGTCGTTGTTTAGATATAAACAACATACACATGTCGATAAGTGATATATTAACTATTAACTATAATAAGTATAATAAAACACGAGAATGCACGAGGATATAATAATAAATCTTAATTCTCGCAATCCATCTCATCGGTTAAACTTATTTTCATTTACCATCATTATAACTTAATTCTATAAACAAAAATCTTTTCAAATATTTCTTAAAATCACAAAATTGTTGAATAATTTTAATATCGCGGTCTCTATGAATATGATGTGAAGTCTTGTTTACCCGGCTGCCCTGCCCTGCCCCGCCGCCGTATGGCAAACTAACAAAGCAACCACCCTCTGCTGCTGTACTGTGGCGGCCGCTGGATTGCATAATGAGTAAATTTGTCCGTCTAGCTCGGACTATTTCCTCTTCTTCGGCCTTATTTCCCCATCCTTTCAAGCACTCATCGTTCACTGCTGCAAATTATTCGCACTCAGTTTCAGTTGTTGTTCCCGATACTGAAACCCAACAAACAAATTCCACAAACTCTGCAAATTCGCCATCATCATTTAGAATAAGGAAGAAAGCTCAGTCTCGCCGCAACTCCGCATTCACACATACTAATAATAATACAGCCGTCGAGCTTGCTTTCAACTCTGTTGTCAAAATCTTCACCGTTTCATGCAGTCCCAACTACTTACTTCCTTGGCAGAACAAGTCTCAGCGCGAATCCATGGGCTCAGGTATTATTTGATTAATCAAATATAGATTGACAATAATCAATTATTAGATTAATTATTTTGATGCCCTTGTTTATGATGATGATAATGCAGGGTTTGTAATTCCGGGGAGAAAGATTCTTACCAATGCTCATGTTGTAGCTGATCATTCATTTGTACTTGTAAGGAAACATGGATCTCCAAACAAGTACCGAGCACAAGTCAAAGCTGTTGGTCATGAATGTGACTTAGCTTTACTAATTGTTGACTCTGATGAGTTTTGGGATGGAATGATTCCTTTGGAGTTTGGTGATATTCCTTTTCTGCAACAAGCTGTTGCTGTTGTAGGGTATCCTCAAGGAGGTGATACCATTTCGGTAACTAAAGGGGTTGTTTCTAGGGTTGAACCTACACAGTATGTACACGGTGCGTCACAGCTTATGGCGATACAGATTGATGCAGCCATAAATCCAGGGAATAGTGGTGGTCCGGCTATTATGGGCAAGAAGGTTGCTGGTGTTGCATTCCAAAATCTTTCAGGTGCCGAGAATATAGGGTAAGTCTTTTTACTTTTTCTCTTTATTTTTTCTGAGTTTTGACAAGTAAGATATGACACAAAAAGATGAGCTTAGATAATATAATAGATACAAGTTACTGGAGGAGATTTTCATACTGATCATTATAAATGACCGTAATGCACAAACCATGCAAGCTATCAATCTATCATGAAGTATTTGGTATTCTGTTGGTTTGATGAAACATATTTTCTGCATAGTAGATGACTTCTTTTCATGTTGGCTGTTGCAGTTACATAATACCTGTACCGGTAATAAAGCATTTTATATCTGGTGTAGAAGAAAATGGAAAATATATTGGATTTTGCTCCCTGGGTTTGTCGTGCCAGACTACTGAAAATGTGCATCTCAGAAACCATTTTGGTATGCAACCTGGCATGACTGGGGTTCTTGTAAACAAAATAAACCCACTTTCAGATGCATACAAGGTTTTGAAGAAAGATGATATTATACTATCATTTGATGGGGTGTCTATAGCAAATGATGGTACAGGTATGTTCTCTCAAATGATGCCTATAACAAAATAATCCTCACTTTCATTTTTGTGGAGTCCCAACCCCAAGCACGACTATGATATGTAAAATGGGAAGGTTTAAGATGGCAATGGACATGAAATTTACTTCATTTTATATGAGTTCCTGTCTTTGCTTTACTCACGCACTTTAAGCGTCAAACTAATAGAGGTTTATATCACATACGATGCAGTCCCTTTCAGAAACAGAGAACGAATAACATTTGATCACTTGGTATCTATGAAGAAGCTAAATGAAAAAGCAGTAGTCAGAGTTCTGCGCGATGGCCAAGAGATTGAACTCAGCATTATTCTCCAACCTGTAAGTTTTATATATATACTGGACCACTCTTTACTATGTGCTACACCAACCAAATTATTTACTCTACAGTTTCTAACACAAACGTTTGTTATGGATATGTTTGTTATGTGTAGTTATTGTTCATTGCATGCTACTTGATAAGTTTTGCTTATTGTATTTTACTGTTTTCTTATACTTGCAAAGTTGCAACTGTAACAATTTTTGATGATAAAGTTGTTTTGTTGATGTTACTGTTTCTATTTCAGATTCAACCCTTAGTTCCAGTTCATCAGTTCGATAAACTTCCAAGTTATTACATTTTTGCGGGTCTGGTATTTGTTCCACTCACTCAGCCATACCTTCATGAGTATGGGGAGGACTGGTATAATGCTTCACCTCGTCGTTTGTGTGAACGGGCTTTGAGGGAATTGCCCAAGAAAGAAAATCAACAACTTGTTATTTTATCACAGGTTAGCATCTCTTTAATTACAATGTAAATCTTGCAGAACATATGTTTGTTATTAGTACCTTTGTCATACGATTGCCCAATGCCAGACATGCTATGCTACCCGTTACAGCCCAGATATGGCATAGGTCGACCATCCATTGTTTCTTCCTCAATTACTCAGGCTTTTATATTTCACAGGCTCTTGCAAGAGGATTTTTGTCTCCCCTGTGCTCCCCTTTTTAGCCTTTTCAATAGTATTTCTTTTGTTAAGATTACAACATAGGATCCACCATTTTTAAAAATCATTGCCTCGGGTGTCAAACAAAGTTTATTTATCTTACTAGGTAAAACTCGATAAACTTTTCAAATAGAAATACTTTGAACTGAGTGAAACCCTAATTAAATCACCTCATTTAATATAAGATGATGGTAAATTTCTATACGTTAAAAATTCAAAATGAGTTGGTTTTAGCAAATTAATGCAGATATTTGATTTTGGAATCGATTTATTAATAAACATCTTACTGATTTCAGGTCCTGATGGATGATATCAATGCTGGTTACGAGCGTCTTGCAGACTTACAGGTAGGTGCCAACTCGTTAATGCTTTAGCTATTATTAAGCATGTGTCTGATTGGGATATTTTGACGAAGATAAAACACCTTTTGTTATACAACTTTGTGACCATATTAGATTTTATTTAGGTCTCACTCAACTCCGCAAAATGGACTTGTAAGGTCATGATTGTCTAAGCTGTTTAAGCTCTATTTAGGCTGTATTTCTAATCAATGTCAGACTTGGATTGTAAATGAGTAAATCTCTGGTCCACAAATAGTCAACTAAATGATAAGAGTTTGATCTTATAACTCAACGAACATAGTTCAAATATTCTCAAAAACAGTTGTAACATTGTCATTAGTACGATTTTATGTAATAAAATTTACTACTGAAATATTAATAAACCTATGAGCCATCCTTCAAAGATGTCTATGTAAGCAAAAGCGGTCTAAACGAATGGTCTATCTCTTTGGTGTTCATAAGTATTATATTTTTCTTACGAAGAAGCTCTATGCACATTGTGATAATTGTTACAAGTTTATTTTGTTCACTTGGAATGAATGTTTTTATTGCGTATTTGCTTTAATATGATAATGTGATACTCAGGTTTTGAAGGTTAATGGAACAGAAATTGACAATCTAGAACACTTATGTGAACTTGTTGAGAACTGTAACACAGACAGCTTGCATTTTGATTTGGACGACAATAGGGTCATTGTCTTGAACTGTGAAGCAGCGAAAATCGCCACCTCTAGAATTTTGAAGCGCCATAGAATACCTTCATCAATGTCAGCTGATCTTATTAACGCACAGAATAATTTGCAATTAGGAGTGACCAGCTCATGTTGAGACTGTAGTAGCTCTTTCCTGCTTATTTATTCAATTTATTGTGACCGATCTTGATTTTTTCTCTCGGAATTGTAAAAATTTTGTTACTTGATTTGAGTTAACAATAATTTCTTTGCATTCATTACTGAACTGACTCTGTAAGGTTACACACTCATGACAGGCCTCACAATGTAATTTGAAAAACAGATCATGATTATGAATCAGAAAGTTATGACTGGTGCAAATATATTGGTAACCTCTTTGTCCTCCAATATATTGAAATCTGCATTACTTACGTTTTATCTTGCAAAAATGAAAAGAGAAAAACAGTCTTTACCCTCAAAATCATATTTTAAAAACATTTCTTATTATAGATGATAATATTGTTATTAGCAAAATGATTGAATAAACAAGTTGTTGAGGGAGTCCGGGGCGGGGAGTGGAGCGGAAGTGTCAATGAATCAAAGAGACCCACACTCACCAACACTAACCAAGACTCTGATACTACTTGTTTAGAGCTCACCAACACTAACCAAGACTCTGATACTACTTGTTTAGAGCTCACCAACACTAACCAAGACTCTGATACTATTTGTTTGGAGCTTGGAGGTTGTTGATAGAGTTCGGGAATCAAAAACCTTAAAGCATTAGAGGTGTGATTGCTGATATCGGCATCGGCACCTGCCGAAACCGTATTGTCACGACGATTTTCACGGTCGCAGACAGTTTGTTAAAACCAAAACCCTGATCCTTTCTCTTATATATATCAAACATTTCTTCTATTTCTAGAGCAGTTAGACTTGAAACCCAACACAAGTTATTTTCCCTATTAAAACTTCCTTTAATTGCAGTTGTTGCTGTAGAAATAGTTGCAAGAAAGATGATTAGGAATGAAGATGCAAATAGATAGTGAAAATGAATTACTAATATATAGTAGATACATTGTATTGTAGGTTAGAGGACACAAACGCCTCTAATCTAAGTTTGAAATAAACATGTAATAGAAATAATTAATTGATAAAAAGGAATTACTCGAGTAATTCGAATTCATCATCCCTGAGGTGAGCAACGAACTTGAGAGGACCACGAGGACCTTGAATATCTTCAGCAATAAACTCAACCTTATAAGGAAAATTTGCAGAAATTCTCTTATCTTTCCAAATAGACACGTTCTGTTTGATGTTACCTTCCCTACCACTGAGATCAACCTCTGGAACTTTAGGAACATGATACACTTTCAGAGGAACCTTCACCCTAACACGTGCTCCAATCTTCAGCGATGAATCTTCTCCCACGTCACACCTTATCATCGTCGCGAATCTCCTGCTTCGATGAATCTTGGAGTTGGTGAACGGCAACGGAGCTGCCATTGTTGCAATTGTAGTGGTACTCGTCGTGCTCATCATGCTCGATTTGTTGTGTTTGGTTCTTTCTGCGAGGAAATGAAAATATCAAGTAGGGATTGCTTGCTTAATTGTGCCGCTCTCTATCTCTCTCTCTTTCTCTGCTACTCATTCATGGATATGGATAATAATAATAATAATAGTAATAATATTGTATTATTAATCAATTGGACTCTTCTTCTCTTGTCCAATCAAAATTTGTAAATAACTCTAATTCTAAATTATTCTCATTTTATAGTTTTTTTTTCACAATTATTATCGATTGTTTATTACAATATTTTAAAGTATTAAATATGTTTTTGTCCTCTTAAATATTTTATTTGTAGTTTTTCTAAAAAAATTATTTAAAGAATTACCCTCTTAAAAATTTTAATTTTAATTTTTGGTCCTTCCCGCAACTTAGCGATAAAATTAGTGATGGTTTTTATTTAGTGATTGAAATGACGATAATTTTACCGATGGTTTTGATATGAAGGATCAAAAATTAAAATTTGTAGAATGATCATTCTTTGAAAAAAAATTTAAAAGAGATTAAAAGTAAATATGAGATATTTAGGAGAATAAAAAAATATTTAATCTTATTTTAAAAATTGGATCGAATTGATGAAATTTTTTATTTAAAGTTCAATTGATTCAACCGATTAAACCTACGATCGAACAGTTTATTAAATAAATTAATAATATAAAACTAAATTTTATGTCACAAATAATCTTTCGCAACTTAATAAAATAAATAGTTAATAGTCATTTACCTCCTGCTATATAGGTTTTGTTCTGGACTAGACCTGCACTTAGCCCAAACATCATACAAGATTCAATCTGACTGTGCTACGTGAGATAGCCTGTTAACAACGACTGTCCTCGACTAGCTTGGGCAGTAACCTCGTTCTTCTGGTTGACATGGCTTTGCCTTACAGGGTTAACCCCAAGAATGGCGAGGAGAGCCGAAGAAGATCAGGAGGACCTCGCGAGCATATCCCACACTTCTTGTCGGCCAAGAAAAGTCCTCCGGGGACAACTTCACAGTTGGCGGGGAGGGTCCACGACGGACAAAAGTACCTCACGAGCATCCTCCTCGTAGGGATGACTCTCAACACCTCTGAATATCACAAAGTCCTCTTGGTCTCGAAAAGACCGCATCCATATCCTCTTGATAGTTCGGAGGTGTCCATCCAGGTTGGGGACCACGTGTTGACCCCCACTACGCACGTAGGACCTGGCAGTCTCCATTTTTGGGCCTGTTTGCCCAGTCCAACGATGGAGATCTTGGCCCAGCGCTGAGGGCTATAAATACCCTCTCACTTGAAAGGGTCAGTTATTGATCCTTTAACTCACATACTCTCACACTTTCTAATACCCTATATGAATCCTAATTTAGCATCAGAGCGTCTTGTAGGTACCCCCACACTTCACATTCAACTGTTGCTCGACTCAAAGCTCGAAGGCCTTGACAGTCCCTTCTGGTCAGGTACGATCAGTGGCGCCGTCTGTGAGAAATTAGCTTCCCCGTCTCCATCGCAAGAATAAAGCAACCTTCCATTAAACTCTGATTATCATGGCCGACCAAGTTGCCAACAACAACCAAAACGCTCACCTCACCGACATCAACAACAACATTGGCGACAACATTGATCATAACAACGTCGGGAACGATGTCGACATGGTCGGTCTGGAGCAGAACTATAGAGATAAAATGACCGCGTCTTTGTTATCCCACTCTCGACTGCACAAGGATGTCCATGCCCCCCAGAATTATGAACCAAACACTTTCCAAGAAGTCCCCATCCCTGCTGGCGCTGGTGCCACGACCAGAGCTCTATTCACAATCATCAACCAAACGAACTACTTGATCTTCTCATAGGACGAGCAGCTGAGAGTGCCCAAACAGACTCGTCGGGCCCCGAGGAGACGTAGTAGACTTGTCACTCCTCCTCCACATCATAAGGAAGACCGTCCAAAGTCTCCCCCGCGGAGACACAAACGAAACAGATCGCGAAGCCTCTCTCCTCGACGGGCTGGGTGACGCCCCGCGTTGGAGAGAACACTTCTCGGAGCCATCAGGAGACGCGGCCTCACCTCCCCCCCATGCAGGGAACGATGATCCCATGAAAACAGAAACAGAGAAACACAACCTCGGCCACGATATCCTCCCCGAGGTCAAAGCCATCACTACGACCGCCATTACAACCGGTACCCCTCCCACTCTTCCGACAGGAGCGACGAAGACGACCCCCGCGGTCCCTTATCACAAGCGATCATGGAGGCGCCCATTCCCATGGGAATGGAGAAACCTCCCCAGCTGAAGGAATATAACGGAATTACAGACCCTGTTGATCACATCAACGGGTTCAAGGCAATGCTCCATTATCATAACTTTGGGGGACCGATCAAATGTAGGTTTTTCCCCACGACCTTGAGGAAAAATTCAATGGACTAGTACAAGAACCTCATCCCAGGGTCAACCACCTCCTGGAGAAACCTCAAGAGCCAGTTTATCAGCTCCTTTACAGCGTCTCATCGACACCCGAAGACTGAGGCCGCCCTTAAGGCTATCTTCTAGAGAAGCGATGAGACCCTCATGGAATATATTAATCGGTTCAACCGCGAGGCCATTCAGGTCCCGTGCGCCGATCACATGAAGAGGTACTTGCTTGAGATAGGACTCCTCCCGGGCACTGAATTCAGAAAGGCCGTCAGCATTGAGCCCCCCCGGTCTTTCGACGCCCTCCTCAAGAAAGCCAGAGCCTACATGGACTACAAAGAGAAGGAGGCAGCCAACAAAGCACGCGACTCGAGGAATCTCGGCCCGACCAACATCCCACGACACCAGGACGTGGGTCCTTCTCGAAGTACTGGCGAGAAGAGAAGGGATGAGAAACCACGAGATCCCTGCGAGCACAAGGGACCGACTGGGTGTTTCATAGAGTACACTTCACTGATTGCTTCCCGCGAGCGCATCTTGGCAGAGTGCTCCAATAATGACTTCAAGGACGACGACATCAAATGTCCTCGACCCACTCCTGCAAAGCCTGGAACTGACAGGACAAAATATTATCAGTACCATCGGAGTCATGGGAACCTAACAGAAGATTGCGTCCACCTCAAGGATTCCATTGAGACCCTTATCAAGGGTGGCAAACTCGGGCAGTACCGATGCAATGACGCCCCTCACTGAGACACCCGTGAGGTGAAAGAATTTGAGGAAGAAACCCGACCATCAAACGAGTCGGGCCTCATACAAATAGCTTTCTCTGTGACAAGGCCGAAGGACTTCCATATCCCCGACGGCTACATGGACGAACCATTATCCACGCACAACAGGTGGGAAAAATTTCCATCCGCCATGGTCATAACCGGTGGGTGATTCAACGACCTCTCCATTAATTCCCCAAAGAGAAAGCTCGACGAATTGGTGGACGTGGCCCTAACCCAAGCGTGACACTCGAGAGGTTCAAGGGAAAGTCTGAACCAATCACCTTCTACCTGGAGGAGTTTCCCAGTGGGTCCCCTAACTCTAGAATCCCTCTATTGGTGAGGGAAAGGATGGCTAACTTTGCGTGCACCGTATTCTGGTCGACGAGGGAAGTTTCGTCGATGTCATGTACAGTCATTTGTTCCGAACCTTACAACTCGATGAAACTCACATGTCACCATACGTGGGGTCTGACCTGAAAGGCTTCAACAACTAGACCTCTAAACTGTGGGGTTACGTGGAGCTTTTTGTCACTTTCAGAGAAGAGACCGCCCCCCGATAAATCAAGGTGCGGTTTCTAGTGATCAACTACCCATCTCTCTACAACTGTATCTTATGGAGACCAACACTGACCGACTTGACCGTCGTGCCCTCCACTGTCCATTTGAAGATGAATTTCTACACTCGAAGAGGGCACGTCGCCACCATCCATGGGGACATCTCGGCTTCTAGAAGATGTTTTCATGCAACTTCCAAAGGGCAGAGCATGGTTGACACTGGAGCGCGAACTTCCAAAAGAGCTACCATCGCTCGACCTGAACCGCAGCCTGCTCGAACAGAGGAACAAAAGGCTCCACCAAAGGTCGACTTCATCTCGCTTGACACTCACTTCGACAAGGATAAAGCCCCCAACAGCGAACAAGAACTCCTCTGACCTATCCCAGACGGAGACTTCGAGTTTGTCCCCCTCAGTGAAGACCCTCACAAAGGCATGAAGATCGGAACCAGGCTCCCTGACTTGGCGAGAAGCAGATTAAAGCTTGCTTGAGGAGAACGCGGACCTGTTCACATGGAGCGCTGCAGAGATGCCCAGACTCGACCCCGAGGTCGCCTATCACCAACTGGAAATTGATCCAGCCGCTAGGGCAGTAGTACAACATAGACGTAGGCAGTCTCCCGAGAAAGCGGAGGCTGCTGAAAATGATGTAAAAGACCTCTTAGAGGCAAAGTTTATTTCTGAGACCCGATATTCAACCTGACTCTCAAACGTTGTACTTGTTAAAAAGAATAATGAAAAATGGAGAATGTGTGTTGATTATACTGATCTTAATCGGGTATGCCCCAAAGACGCTTTTCCTTTACCTAACATTGACATGCTGGTCGACAACTCGATCGGCTATAAAATTTTATCATTCATAGACGCTAACTCGCGCTATAACCAAATTCCAATGGAAATGAGCGACAAGCACTGCACCGCCTTCATGACAGGCTCGGGCAATTATTACTACAATGTAATGCCCTTCGGCCTAAAAAACGCAGGGGCAACATACCAGCGGATGATGAACAAAGTCTTTCGCGACGAGATCGACGACATGCTCGAGGTATATATGGACGACATGATCGTCAAATATTGAACAAAAATCGACCATGTTGCTCATCTTAAAAGAGTCTTTGCCCAAGCAAGACAGTTCAAAATGAGATTCAACCCGGAGAAATGCACCTTCGGGGTTAAAGCGGGCAAGTTCCTCGGTTTCTATCTGACCGAATGGGAAATCGAAGCCAACCCCGACAAGTTCCGAGCATTGTT